CCATATTCCCAGTTTCAGGAGGGGCAACCTCCTCTATCTCCCAATATTCTCCCTCAGCTTTTGGGTTGCTAGCAGAATGGAGATGGCTGACTACCATAAGCTTCAACACTACCGCCATCTCTGTTTATGTAAGAGGAAGGGTTCCCTACTAGTATTGGTCTCCCCCATATGAAGCTAGATACAATTTAGTGATGGAATTAAATCAAGCAGTCTCCACTTCCTCTTTTGACACTGCAACTTTCGACACTGCCCTCCTTCTGACTAGCCCTCTAACTCAGGGTTTTTCAACCTTTTTACCCACTGTACCACTTTTAGGATATGGCAATATCCGAGTACCACCAGTCGCCTAACAAGCTGTCAAAAACTTGATGACCAAAAAAAAAAAAAAAAAAGGAAAAAAGTGATAAAGTACAGGTAGTCCTCGACTTACAACAGTTCGCTTAGTGACTTTTCGAAGTTACAATGGCACTGAAAAAAGTGCCCTCCAAGCCACAGCCGAGCAAGACACCTACCTACCTGCCCAGCCACGTTCTTCCTCCTGTCCAAGGTTTTCATTGCTGTGAGCATTTCTGTTGAGGATTGGCAGCGGGGGTGGGGTGGGGGGGGGTGTTTGGTTTTTATTCCCCCCGTCTGCTGGATGGGTGCAGCAGGTTTTGGTCACTTCACATGACACTGGGACACTGTGACTGTCATAAATATGAATCAGTTGCCAAGCATCTGAATGTAAATCACAAGACCCTGGAGATGCTGCAACATTCCAGCTGATCGGCGCTTCTTCTGGGCTCAGCGGAAGTGCCATGATCAGTGCTGCTTTCCAGCTGGAGCCTGGCACTGATCCTGGCGTTTCCACTTAGCCCTGCCAGTCCCGAAGAAGCACCAATCAGCTGGAAAGTGGCACTGATCCTGGCGCTTCTGCTGAGCCCTGACAGCCCTGCAGCTCCAGCCATCTCTCGCTCAGGCTTGTGCGGTGCTGCCACCAGTTCAGCTCATTCCCCTCCCCTGCTACCACTTTTCTAGGATGGTTGCGTACCACCTGCCAGCTGCCAATGTACCACAGGTGGTACCTGTACCACTGGTTGGAAAGTCCTGCTCTAATTGATCCTATTGTCTCAACTATGGCTTGTTCTGGGGGGAAGTGATGTAGTTTGGAGTATGTATATAGTTGCCAAACCTGAAGTGCAGGAAAGAAGTCCAGAAAGCTAGCCCTCTTTTAAAGCATAAAATAAAGTGCTCTATTTAATAGATGCCCACATATAACCAGCAAGCAGCAATGCTATCAATATCTGTACACAGTACACAGGCATATATAGTATCCCCAGCAAGGGAGGAAGAGCTGTTTGGAAAAAAAAATACAAGTAAATAAGTAGGCTTTATTTGTGTGAAGGTTCTTCTTGGAAGAGGAAAATGCTCTTACTGTAAAAGCATGTTTTTTTTAACAAACTAAAATTATTCTACTATCTATCTTCTATATAAATAAAAATGTAAATGTTCGTTTGTTCACAATCTTAAATCTCCGAAAGTTCTTCACCGATTGCTTTGAAATTTTGACACAACGTTGCATTTGAATACGCGCGTGTTTTTATATACCTATATTATATAGATGTCACACCTGTGACAGGTTAAAACATGCTTTTTTCTAAAAACAGCACCATCTGTTGGACATAAAAGCAACACACGCTACATGCACTTTCTCTTTTCTTTCTTTTCTATTTAGCCAGACTGAGCCACAGCAACGCGTGGCCAGGTACAGCTAGTCCTGAATAAAAACAAACTAACACTACTACCACCACCACCTATTAAATGGGCTTGGGTAGAGGGAAGTTGATCATATACATAGCTTCAGAACTGCTGCTTTTCAGAGCATGAATAGAAAACAAAGGTATCCTAGCATAATTTTGTTACAGGACCCCAGGCATGCATGAATCACTTAGATTTCCTGGATGTCCCTTTACAGTCTCGTGGATATGTCCTTTACAAACATTGCTCCTGTACATAGAATAATGGAATAACAGAGTTGCAAGAAATGTTGGTGGTCTTCTAGTCCAACCCTCTGCTCAAGCAAGAAACTCTGTACCATTTCAGACAAATGGTTGTCCAGTCTCTTCTTAAAAATCTCCAGTGTTGGAGCACCCAAAACTTCTGGAGGCAGTTTGTTCCATCGATTAATTGTTCTAACTGAAAGGAAATTTCTCCTAGGTTGCTTCTCTCTGATTAGTTTTCATCCCTTCTTGTTCTGTCTTCAAATGCTTTGGAGAATAGGTTGACCACCTCTTTTTAAACTAACAGATTAATCAAAGTAAATATTTTTGAACTTTGCAATTTAAGGGTCATTAATATTTGTAATAAAATTGTTTGCATTTGTTGAGAAATTCTTACAAACATATTGTCAACGCTGCTAATATTGGATATTATTGCTTTGACAAAATATGCAGAACTGTCTGGTATTTTTAGAGTTAACTTAGATGATGCTGGGAGGGGAGGAAAAAGATAAGGAATGCAGGGGCTACAGAACAGAAATGAACCTTGGCCAGGGCTTATTGGAGAACATGATTTATGATTGCAAAATAGGGGAGGGGAATAGGCTGGAATGTTATGTGCAAGGAAGAGGAATTCAGATCTTGGCATCCATCCATGCCATGCGGACACTCTGTTACACAAAATAAAGACTTTTTTGGATAAACAATGCCTGGAAATTCTTTGAAGTGTTTCATTAGTCGGAACCATGACACATATATTTAGCAATGAATGTTTCTGTTAAAGACATTGGAAAAAGATACCTGGGGGTTCCCAGATCCATTTATAGCTTACTACTTTCCTTGTTTAAGATAGGCAAAATAATTGGGACTCATTTTTTAAAGAATGATTTATATCTAATATTTATAAGAACAAGATTGTGAGATTCTTTGCTCAGGTGTTTTTGTACCTGAAAGAAAACATTAGATCAACTCCCAAATAATTTATCTTTAAAAGGTGTGGGGTCCCTTAGGCTCACTAAGAATGCAGTAATCCAGATAATTTTGTTCTTTTAAACTTCTTTAGAGGGAAGAACCTTGAATTCACAATCATTTTCCTTTTGCGTAAACAAAGTTTATGCAAATTTCCAATTAGAAATTTTCTGAGCAAGTAGTGGCATTTTATGTAATTTCCCTAGATCTATATACTCTGGCAACTTAATTTGAGTGAACAACTTTACCAGTTTTTCTAAAGGATTTCAGAGTAGGAAGGTTCACTCTATGGTTCCCTTTTAGTTAGAGTTCTACACGTAGATCTAATGTGATCTTTATTGCTTTGTATACTAAGAAACAGGAAAAAATTCTGCTTTGGATTGGATGATAAATTGTATTTCAGGTTATCAACCTCCCAATGTACATAAGTATAATCATTATGACTTCATAAATCATGATTACAAACTTAGTAATTTTTTTCAACAATTCTTCTTGCTCAGAGAAGAGGCATTTGTGGTTTATGGTGAAAAGGGCTTTTGCGCATCTCCATCTGCTGTGCCAATTGTGCCTGTTCCTGAATGAGAAGGCTTTAGTAGTTTAAAAACAAGAAGGACTAGAGGTGACACAATATTAGTGTTCCAGTATCTAAGAGGCTGCTACAAAGAAGAGGGGGTCAACTAGAGATTGGACAACAATTTGTCTGAAATGCTATAGGGCAGGGGTGTCAAACTCAATTTCATTGAGGGCTGCATCAGCATTGCGGTTGCCCTCAGGGAGCCGGGTGGGTGCGGCCTACTGGGTGGGCGTGGATGGAGTGGGTGTGGCCTACTGGGTGGACGTGGCCAGCTCTACATCGTTCGCATCAAGGGTGCCTGTGGGGGCTTGGGCAGTAGTGGGATAGATCTGAGGGTCTCCGGCAGAAGGGGGTGGGACCAGGGCAAGTGCCAAGGCATGGTCCACTGGAGGAGCCTCGGTGTTCCTCTCAGGCCATGCGGGGGGGGGGCTTATGGAGCTAAGACTGAATGCGTTTCAGCATAGATGGCCACCACAAAATTGTACATTGGCTCCCAGATGGCCTGGGCCAAGGCAGAGGGGGCCTGTTCCCTCACTGTTCCAGGATTGCTTTGCGGGTCACATAAAACCACATCGCGGGCCACATCCGGCCCCCGGGCCTTGTGTTTGACATGTCTGCTATAGAGTTTCCTGCTTGAGCAGAGGGTTGGACTTAAAAGACCTCCAAGGTCCCTTCCAACTCTGTTATTCTGTCATTCTATTCTCTTCCACAAAGTAGCTTCTGTTACTTTGAGAAATAAAAATGCATAGTGGAACTAGAAATAGTATGAGGGATCTAGTTTGTTACATACAGAATGCAGAAAAAAATCAGTTGAGAAACAACCTTATCAAAATGGATAAAATCATATATAGAGTAGAAGTAGACAGGGAGAAATTTTTCACATTGTCTGAAAACTTTAGGACCAGTAGTCATCCAAGGAAACAAATTGAATTTGGAGAGATCAAGAAAAAGCAAGTACTTCTCACCGTGTATAATTAATCTGTGGAATTGATTACCACAAAACATGGCGACGGCCACCTAACTTGAATGCCGTTAAAAGGGATTGGATATATTCATAGAATGTTAGTTAAAAACTAGAAAGTTGGAAGACCCAATTTTTCTCTGTGTTGGGGGCAGTTTGATTCCAAATACCAATTTTAGATGAACGGTAGTGGGATAAAGGTAAATTCTCTGTCTCCTACTTGAGAGCACCCTAGAGGTGTTTCATTAACCACTCTAAGAAACAAAACGTTGCATTAGAATGGATCTTATCCTGCTCTAGCAGGACTATGCATATGCTTATCCAATCTATCCAATCTACAGGGCTTATTAAAATTATGAAAATGCTGGTGATTTTGGGCTGGTCTTTCTCAGTCCAACTCACCTCAAGGGTTGTTAGTGGGAAAAATAAGAAGCAGGAATATTGGGTATGTTTGCCATCTTGAGTTATATATAAAAAAAGGTAGTATAACAATATGATGGTGATTCTGTTTTTCTTTTAGCCATGTCTCAGACCGTACAGACAAATGGCACACAACCATTGAGCAAAACATGGGAACTCAGCTTATATGAACTTCAAAGAACACCTCAGGTACTGTAGTTACGTTCTTCTCCATCTTTGTATTATCTTTGGTAATAGCTTGTATCATTGTATTGTTTTAGTGTGAATGTGATCTTCCACATCCCAAATAATTTGTACTAGAAGAATTAGATAGTAGGAAAAGTAGTGTAATTGTAAGAGTATTGAAAAGGTATCATTTATAAATATTAATTTCAATGGAGCAAGGAAATAATTTCTTGAAAATGCTATTTTGATCATTAGGAAGCTATAACAGATGGCCTGGAGATAGTGGTGTCACCCCGAAGTCTCCACAGTGAGCTAATGTGTCCCATTTGTTTGGATATGCTGAAAAATACCATGACTACTAAGGAATGTCTACATCGATTTTGTGCTGATTGCATTATCACAGCCCTTAGAAGTGGGTAAGTTGGTTGATGAAAAAAACCACTGCTGCAGAACTGAATAGTACCTTGGAATTATGCTCAAACCTGTGATTCAAAAGATTTTTTGGAATTGAAGCCACACAGGATACAGCCAGTGATGCATGAATGTTTTAGATATGGATAAGGCCACTGTTTTTGCCCCATGCTGGAATATGTGAAATGGGGTGCAAATTTTAAGAGTAATTATAACAAAACTAGATGCTTCTTATTTCAGCAAGAAAGGTGGGTGGGTAGGAAAGGCCAAAAAAAGCAGATTGCTACCAACATTTAATGATATATGGATTATATAGCAATAGCACTTAGACTAATATACCGCCTCATAGTGCTTTACAGCCCTCTCTAAGTTTACAGAGTCACTCTCATTTTACTGACCTCAGAAGGATGACTAATCTGCTTGTTGCCTATCACAACTCTGCCACAAAGGAACTATAAAAAATACTTTTGCCTTCTTTCTTCTCTGAAATTGTCTCCTGTCACCTATTGTATATGGCTGGCCACATTCGAGACCCAAAGAAGGTTATATATAAAGAATTTGCAGCTAGGATGGGTTGAGTATTTTTGCTATCCTACTTAATCTTGTGAGATGGGAGTCCTTGGTGCTCTCTGAGCTTGATTGTTTTCTTGCAGATGTTTCATTACCCAAACTAGTTAAACTCATCAGCACTGATGATGTTACCTAGTTTGGATACTGAAACATCTGCAAGCTCAGAGAGCACCAAGTGCTCTCATTTCAATCCTGAGCCTCAAATATTTTCTCCTTTATTGGCTTGTAGGATAGGTTTGCTGCAGTAGTACCTGAGCCAAGATCATTCAGAGCATCTTATATCCAAGCAGAGACTTCAACTTGGAGTTCAAGTCAGGATTTGTATCCAGTATAATACACTGACTCCAAGTAATAACTTAACTTTTTTCAGCCTATGTAAAAGTGGGTACATAAAGAATACGTGGCTCCTTGTACTGTTGTCACCAAATAATGTACAGGACTAAGAGCAAAGAGGGTCAGTGAGCATTGACCAAATCATTCTATTGAATTCTATACTGCCTTATTCTTTTTAACTGCTACGTCTTTGTCAGTTATGTGCAAATCTTATAATGTCAGTATGGAGTATAACAAATTTGTTAACCTTCAAGGATTCGGATTCTGAGATGTGCAAAATTAACAAATGGCTGTTCCCCTTCTGATAAATAGTTAAGTATTTTGAAAGAAATCACAAAGATTTGCCAACAATGCAATAAGTATACAATATTTTTGAATTAGGTAAAAACATATTTTTGGAATTCTTTTTCTTATTTTCAGAAACAAAGAATGCCCTACTTGTCGTAAAAAGCTCGTTTCCAAAAGATCTTTGAGACCAGATCCAAATTTTGATGCCCTCATCAGTAAAATTTATCCAAGTCGTGATGAATATGAGGCTCACCAGGAGAGAGTTTTAGCAAGGATCAGCAAGCACAATAATCAGCAAGCTTTGAGCCACAGCATTGAAGAGGGTCTGAAAATACAAGCCTTGAACAGGTAAAAAAAATCATATATAGTGAAAAGATGGATATACAGAGTTCTCTAGTTGGGTGATTGTCCGCATACTTACTTGTATGAAGATCTATCTATATCTTCAGACCTCAGCATAAAAAGAAAAAATAGAAAATTATGCCTACCAGAAGGTTAGAGATTTGCTTCTATTTCAAATACACATTACTGCATTGTAATCTAAAAGCTTACATTTTTAAATAAATTCCTGCTTTTTCTTTTTAATTTGAAAACTGTGGATCATGCAAAATTGACCATAACAGCCTAAATTACAATGCTTCATTGTATCCAGTAACGTTACAGCTAACCATATCCTAATATTTGTTCAAAATCTATATTTCAAATGACATTATGTCTACTAAATACTGTAAATACTAAATATATTTTAATATGTGAATTATTTTGCAAAATGAATTTCCTCATGGCATAATAATAATAATAATAATAGTAATGAATCAAGATGCCCCACGAAAATAACATTAAGAGTCTGGATGAGGAAGATTACTACAAATACTTGGGTATCCTTCAAGCTGACAACATCAAGCACACTGAAGTCAAGAAAAAGATTAGAGGTGAATACATCAAGAGAGTGAAGAAGATCTTAAAGTCCAAACTCAATGGAGGAAATACCATAAAGGCAATCAACACCTGGGCAATTCCAGTCATTAGGTACACAGCTGGAATAGTGGACTGGACTCAAGCAGAACTAAAAGCAATGGATAGGAAGACCAGAAAAATAATGACAATGAATCACGCCCTTCATCCACGCAGTGACATTGACAGACTTTATCTACCAAGACAAATAGGTGGGCGTGGAATGCTACAAGTACATCAGATGGTTGAAGAAGAAAAAATGGCTTTGGAAGAATATCTGAAGAACAATGATGAAGATGCACTGAAATTAGTATATCAGGAAGGCTTACTGACTACTGGAGAGACCAAACTGGCCTACAAGAAAGACCAAATGAAGAACAGAATAGAGGCATGAGAAGACAAAGCACTACATGGCCAATACATTAAAAAAAATAGCTGGAAAAGCAGATAATAACAAGACCTGGCAATGGCTAAGAGCAGGAAAATTGAAGAAAGAGACCGAGGGACTAGTTCTGGCTGCACAAGACCAAGCCTTAAGGACAAATGCATATAAAGTCAAAATTGAGAAGACAGCAACAGACAGTAAGTGCCGCCTATGCAAAGAAGCTGAAGAAACAGTGGACCACATGGTAAGCTGTTGCAAGAAGATTGCACAGACTGATTACAAGCAGCGGCATGACAAAGTAGCAACAATGGTGCATTGGAAGATCTGCAAAAAATATCATTTGCCTGTAAGCAAAAACTGGTGGGATCATAAAATAGAGAAAGTCATAGAAAATGATAAAATTAAACTGCTCTGGGACTTCAGAATTCAAACAGACAAGCACCTGCAACATAACACCCCAGACTTAACAATTGTCGATAAGAAAGACAAAAAAGTCTGGATAGTGGACGTGGCAGTGCCTGGAGATAGCAGAATAGAAGAGAAAGAACTGGAGAAGATAACAAAATACAAAGACCTACAAATAGAAATAGAAAGACTGTGGCAAAAGCAAGCAAGGGTAGTACCAATAGTCATAGGCGCCTTGGGTACAATCCCAAAACAACTGGAGCACCACTTGAACACCATTGGCATTGACAAATTCGCTATTAGTCAATTGCAAAAGGCGGCCTTACTAGGAACTGCTTCCATCCTGCGACGATATCTGTAATACCATCAAACATCCACATCTGCCTATCCCAGGTCCTGGGTAAGGACTCGATAGGTAGACAAAATGCCAAATCCAGTCTGAACATCTGGCTGACTGTGCAATGATTAATAATAATAATAATAATAATAATAATAATAATAATAATAATAATAATAATAATAATAATATAAAAAAGTTGGAAGGAACCTTGGAGGTCATCGAGTCCAACCCCCTGCTCAGGCAGGAAACCCTATACCATTTCGGACAAATGGCTGTCCACTCTCTTCTTAAAAACTTCGAGTGTTGGAATATTCACCGTTTCTGGAGGCAGGTTGTTCTCCAGCACTGGAGATGGATAATCCACGCAGTGGGTTGAGACTGTATTCCTGGCCAATCAGATCAGTCAGCCAAAATTGCCACGCCCAGTCCTGGACCATGATTCTTCAGTCTTGATTGATCTGGCCATACAGAAAGACCTACAATCTTTGGCTCCTGGGCAGGTATAGTTCCTTTCCATTGGGGGGGATTTCTTCTAGTAGCTGAAATTGCTTAGTTTAAAAGTTAATTAGAGATAATTTAATTCAATGTAATTGATTACTCAAAATTGCCTGGCTAAATTGTAAGACTCAGGAAGTCACATTCCCTACAGGGGAAACCACCCCCACTTAAAAGGGGGAAATCCCTATCTCCCCTCCCTAACCCAAACCCCAACCACCTTCCAGCAGCCGGCAGCAGCCTTAAACAAACGGGGAGGCTCGGGCAACCCCTCGCGTTTAAAACAAACAAAACAAAAAGACAGAAAGGCAAGCAATTAGCGAGGGAAGCGGAGGACAAAGGGGACGCATGCTGGGAGGGAGATTAATTAAGGGAAACAGCTGGCATGCGAAGGAGCAGTTTCTTTCACTAACCAGGCTGCTCAGGATTTTTTAAACGAGGCGCCATTGTCTGCACAGCTGTGAGCACGCGCGGCTCTTTGTTACAACCGCACGTGGCACAGGCAGCCTTTTTAGCACAGGCGCAATAATCTCCTGCTCCTTTTAACACATGCGCAGTAGTCTCCTGGCAGCGGCGGCCATATTTTTGTCCAAACGGGATCTAAGGCTCCCTGAGGAAGCTAGATTCAGCCGCTGGAGTGAATTTAATAGGCAAGCAGTACTGGGGTACTAAAGCATCTATTATTCATTCAGAGACATTCAAATCAGACACATAGCTGCTGGTTCCAGGACTTGGTGTCTTCTACCTAAAGTAAATAAGAACCTTTCATAACTAACTGTGTTTAGTTGCCTTTGGCTCCTTCCGGACCTCGGGTCCCCCATTAGTGGCCCGTACGCTTCTGGATTTAGTGGTGGGTTCCAGGCATCCCCAGTCGCGTGCCTGTCCTTACCCACCATAGTCAAGCCGGGTTCCAGGCATTCCCATTAGCGTGCCTGTTCTTATCCGTGCACAGTGACTAACTCTGACAATTTTGCAGAGTCTGCTCCTGAGTTCCAGACGCCCCCGGTAGTGCGCCTGTCCTTACTCAAAGTTGGAGCTCTCCTACTACCTGGGTCCCCCCTATCGCGGCCCGGCGTTAGTGGAGAATGGAGGAAGCAATCATTCCCTCCACTGGAGCCCTGCCTTCATCCTCTGGAGCACCCGCATCAGAGGATTTGGAATCCTCTGCAGCCCCTAGAAAGGCTGCAAGGAAGTCATCAAAGAAGGCTGACAAACAGGCAATCAGAAGACACCAAGCCCTAGAAAAAGAGTTCGACAGAGCCCAGAAAAGGGCCAGAATTGAAAATAGGCAGAATGGGGGGATAGGCCCTGATCTACCGCTGGGTCTCCCTTCATCCCCACGGGCCATTTGGTCATTAGGGAACTCATCACAGTCCCAAACAGAGGGTGGGGTAGGCGAATTCTCATCGCTCTCCCGATCCCCCTCCCCACGGAGGTTACAGGAAACCCCGAGGACCATACTAACCACAGCACCTGCAGGGTTGCAGGCAATGGTTACTCCTCCTGCATTGACGGGGGATCTGCTAGCTACCCTAATAGCACAGGCAGTGGACCGTGCATTTGAGGCCAGGGCTCAAACTTCAAAGCCAAGTCTCTAGGACTTAGAACGAGGCATCGGGAGGAAACGGAGGACCATCAGGACCTCTCCTCCGTCTCAGACTCGTCGGTCTCTGAGGAAGCTTACCTGGACCAGCCAGGTACGTCACAAAGGATTCAAATGTCTGAGGAAGAGGAGGACACCTCACCTCAAGGGCCGTCCTTCAGCGGCCTGTTTAACCCTTCTCTTTTTGTTACCATTCTGCGCAAGGCTGAGGCCACAGCCCATCTGGGGCATGGGACACCAGCGGAGCCTGTCACAGTTGACACGGAGGCTGAGCCGACGTTCGCCGAAAAGGTAACCACTCAACACCGCATACCATGCCCGACCATGTTCCTAAACACAATAAGGAAACAGTGGGCAGCGCCAACCTCCCTACCGCTTCCTAGCAATGCGGAGAGGAAGCTATTTAACGTAGCAAGGGAGCTAGAGGGAACATTGGAAGTGCCGGTGGTGGACGAACCCATAGGTCCTCTGATATTGGACACGGCCATATCAGGAGATTTTGCTGAGGCTCTTAAAGCCGAGGACCGAAAGAGTGAGTCCAACTACAGGATAACGCACCAGGCAATAGCTTGGGCTACCAGGGCGACTACCTCCGCGTCCTTTTTCACCAGAGCCACACTTTGTTGGCTCCGTGAGTTACACTCACCAGGAACTCAGCAAAATGGTAGCGGCCATGGAATATGCGTTGGACGCGACACTTTTAGCGACCAAGTTTTCAGCCAAGGCAATGGCGGCAAACAACACGAGCAGGCGCTTCCTCTGGCTAAAGAACTGGCAGGCGGATACCAAATCCAAGTGGAAATTGGCTTCGGCTCCGTACCAAGGGGCAAAGCTGTTTGGTGAGGCACTAACGCCATACCTGACAGAGAACAAGCACAAGCGCAAGGTCCTTAAACACATGCTTAAAAGGCAGGACAAAAGACCCGGCTCCTGGGGAAGGAAACAATCCTTTCGTGCGGAAGCCAGGGTCAACTACTTTCAAAATTCCCAACCCTTCCAAGCTAGACAGGATAGGGAAAGACAGGGGGACAGACAGAATACAAGACATAGACAAACGCAGGGAAGACGGCCCTTTCGGGGGAACAACCGCCCCTTCCGCCGTACCAGATGACTCCCACCCAGACCTTCCCATAGGGGGCAGACTAGCAGGGTTTGCTCCCCAGTGGGAAGAGACCACCACGGACGTATGGGTCAGGAACACCATACGTCATGGTCTATCTCTAGAATTTCTCTCAAAGCCCCCGAACCGCTTCCGCCCGTGCCCCTGTCCCACAAACCCAACAAAGAGAAGGCTCATGAACGAGGCCGTTCAGCACCTTCTAAACATACGGGCCGTAGAGCCGGTGCCTATGAACCAGAGAGACCAGGGGTTTTATTCTATCCTCTTCGTGGTCCCAAAACCCTCGGGGGGTTGGAGAGCCGTTTTGGATTTAAAAAGGCTAAATTTCTACATAAAATACCGCAAATTCAAAATGCAGACACTACGCTCCATCCTTGGAAGCGTAAGGAAAGGGGATTTTCTGGCATCGATCGACCTCACGGAGGCATACTTGCACATCCCTATCTCTCTGGCTCACCGCCGCTTTCTACGGTTTGCCTACAGGGGACACCATTTTCAATACAGGGCACTTCCATTCGGCCTGTCATCAGCGCCCAGGGTGTTCACCAAGATTCTGGCGGTTCTGGCAGCACACCTAAGAAACGTACCAGTCAGAGTCCAGTGCTACCTGGACGATATTCTAATCCAGTCATCGTCCGCCCAGCAGTCTCAGGCGGACCTACAGTTAGTGATAAAACTGCTGCAGGACCACGGCTTCTCGTTGAACTTTCCAAAGAGCCATCTAACTCCAACTACGAGAATACTCCATCTGGGAGCGGTCATAGACACAAGGGAGTGCAAGGTGTACCTATCACAGGAACGCCTCAGCAGCATAAAGAAAGCCGTAAAACAGGTAAGCCTCGGTCAGTTAGTGACGCTGGTCTGCCTCTCCCAGCTGCTAGGGAAGATGATATCGACCATAGCAATAGTTCCTTGGGCAAGGCTGCATTCAAGAGAACTGCAGTGGTTCATGCTCCCGTTTCAGAGACAGCAAATCACTGCATCCCGGAAGAGGGTAGGCATACCTCTGAGAGTACGACACTCCCTCAGGTGGTGGCTATCTCCAGCTCTCCTCAGGGGGTCCCCCTTCAGGGAACCAGACAGAGTAGTAGTCACAACGGATGCGAGCTTATTCGGCTGGGGAGGCCACTTGGGGACCAAGTGGACACAGGGCCGCTGGTCAGCGGTGGATCTCCGACACAACATAAACTGGCTCGAGCTGCGGGCTATTCACCTAGCGTTAAGGCATTTTCACAGCAGCATAAAAGGCAGGCACGTACTGGTCCTGACGGACAACGTGACAGCCAAGGCCCACATAAACCGTCAGGGGGGCACACACTCTCGCTCGCTCTCGGCCGAGGCCCTCCTACTGGGGGCCTGGGCGGAACAAAATCTGGCCTCCATAAAGGCCGACCACATATCGGGGGAGGCAAACATCCAAGCAGATCTGTTGAGCAGATCAACAATAGATCACTTGGAGTGGCAACTACACCCGAGGATCTTCAGGGAGATCTGTCACCGCTTCGGGCTTCCCCAGGTGGACCTTTTTGCCTCTCCTTCCAATGCCCACCTAACTCGCTTCTTCTCCGATTCCCATCCAGGGGAGCAGAGCAGACGGACGCGTTACGGAGCCCATGGCCAAAGGGACTCCTGTACGCGTTTCCACCCTTACCTCTCCTTCCGGCGGTAGTACGCAAGATTCTGCGGGAAAGGGCCGAGGTAATCCTTGTGGCCCCTTATTGGCCAAGGAGACCTTGGTTCGCAGACTTGAGGAGTCTCTCCCGCACGAATCCATGGCGGATTCCTCCGGAGAGGATCTCCCTCAAGCAGGGGGAGATCTCCCACCCAGAGCCACAATGGCTACAACTAGCCGTCTGGCTCTTGAACGGTCAATTTTAGCCAAGGGGGCTTGCTCACAGGGTGTAATTAGGGTCATACAGGCATCAAGGCGCCCCTCCACGAACCGTATCTACGAGGCCACGTGGAGAAGCTTCCAGTCATGGTGCTCTAAACAGGAATTGTTACTCGAAGGGATCACAATTCCCAAGATCCTAGAATTTTTACTAGATGGCCTAGAGAGGGACCTCTCGCCAAACACGCTGCGCAGGCAAATCGCCGCCCTCTCAACTATACTTTCTGCCAGCCCCGGTGAATCCTTGGGCAAGCATCCCTTAATACGATCCTTCCTCAAGGGGGCTGCGAACATCAGACCGCCAACCGTGCACAGGTATCCATCGTGGGAACTACCACGAGTACTACAAGCTCTTACCAGAGCGCTATTCGAACCACTCAAAACATGTGACATTCGCTACCTGACCCATAAGGTAGCATTCTTAGTAGCTATCACGTCAGCTCGACGGATATCCGAGTTAGCTTCTCTCTCAACGAGGAAGGACCTGTGTCATTTTCACAGGGACAAGGTAGTGCTAAGAATAGACCCTTCATTCATTCCAAAGGTCAACTCTTTTTTTCACAGATCACAGGAAATAGTCCTACCAGACTTCTGTCCAAACCCAGCTCATCCCCTGGAGCAACAATGGCACACCTTGGACGTACGAAGGGCACTAAGACATTACATTTCGCGCACAGCGGAATTCCGTCGCTCGGAAGCGCTTTTCATATCCTTCCACCCCGCTACTAGGGGCCGGAAGGTCTCGTCCTCTACCATCGGTAGGTGGATTAGGGCATGCATCACTGGGGCATACCAGGCGGAGTCCTTGCAAGTCCCCAAGCATATCACGGCCCACTCCACAAGGAGTGCTGCCACCTCAGCAGCATGGGCCATGCAGGCTTCTATTGAAGAGGTATGCAGGGCAGCCACTTGGGCCTCGCCCTCTCCATTCATTCGTCATTACAAAATCGACAAGTACTCCTCTGCAGAGGCCTCCTTCGGTAGGAGGGTTCTCCAGCAGGTTCTAGACCAAAGTTACACACGGGACCAGTCTATTCCCCAACCCAAGGGACAATAGGCTTTGGTATGTCCCACTGCGTGGATTATCCATCTCCAGTGCTGGAGAAGGGGCGTTGACTTACCTGAACGCCTTTTCTCAGCACGGAGATGGATAATCCACACCCACCCTTATAGACTAGGATAATAGGGTATATTTAGTGGAGCCAAAACGTCTTACTGTCAGTCAATGGCTGCGCTCGAGTCAAGACTGAAGAATCATGGTCCAGGACTGGGCGTGGCAACTTTGGCTGACTGATCTGATTGGCCAGGAATACAGTCTCAACCCACTGCGTGGATTATCCATCTCCGTGCTGAGAAAAGGGTTCAGGTAAGTCAACGCCCCTTCCACTGGTTAATTGTTCTGTCAGGAAGTTTCTCCTTAGTTCTAGGTTGCTTCTCTCCTTCATTAGTTTCCATCCGTTGTTTCTTGTCCTGCCTTCAGGTGCTTTGGAGAATAGCTTGACTCCTTCTTCTTTGTGACAGCCCCTGAGATATTGGAACACTGCTATCATGTCCCCCCTCATCCTTCTCTTCGTTAAACTAGACATACCCAATTCCAGGAATCTTATATGTTTTAGCCTCCAGTCCCCTAATCATCTTTGTTGCTCTTCTCTGTACTCTTTCTAGAGTCTCAGCATCTTTTTTACATCGTGGTGACCAAAACGCGCTCTACATGGGGCTACCCTTGAAAAGTATTCGGAGACTACAGTTGGTCCAGAATGCAGCCATGCGAGTGATAGTGGGTGCTCCTCGATACACCCACGTTACACCTATCTTCCGTGAGCTGCACTGGTTGCCTATTGGTCTCCGGGTCCAATTCAATTTATTACCTTTAAAGCCCTATATGGCTCAGGGCCTGGCTATTTGCGAGACTGCCTACTACCTCATAGTTCCCTTCGTCCGGTTAGATCCCACAGGCTGGGCCTCCTTCAGGTCCCGTCGGCCAAGCAGTGCCATTTGGCGGGGCCGCGGAGGAGGGCTTTCTCTGTGATGGCGCCCACGTCTTGGAACCAGCTCCCCCCGGAGATTAGGACTGCTCCCACACTGTTGGTTTTCCGTAAGCTGCTTAAGACCTAGCTTTTCCAGGAGGCCTGGGGTTTATAAAATCTGACCCCTGGATGACTGTTTTTGTACTGTTTGTTTTGTTATGTTTTATGTGTTTTTATTGTTAGCCGCCCAGAGTCCTCTGGGAGTGGGGCGGCTTATAAATTTTAAAAATAAAATAAATAAATAAAATAAAACTGGACGCAGTATTCCAAGTGTGGCCTTACCAAGGCATTGTAAATGCATTAATGTATTAATGTATTAATACTACTACCGTTTCAATACTACAGCTATATAATGGTGATGGAGGGTTTTATGTTGGATATGTGTAATTAATGAAAAAAATAATCATAGGGTGGACAAAATTTGCTAACTGACACAAAGACTCTGAAAATGAACTTGGATTATTTCTTGATTGTGCTAACTAGGTTACAGAGAGGCAAGAAGCAACAGATAGAGAATGGCAGTGGAGCAGAAGACAATGGTGACAGTTCGCATTGTAGTAATGCTTCAACCCACAGTAATCAGGAGGCTGGACCAAGTAACAAAAGAACCAAAACGTCTGATGATTCTGGGCTTGAACTGGACAATAACAATACAACAGTTGCCATAGACCCAGTACTGGATGGTGCAAGTGAAATAGAATTAGTTTTCAGACCCCATCCTACGCTTATGGAAAATGATGACAGTGCACAGACAAGGTAAGCAGTGATTCATTTTTATTTTAGAAGGAATACCGAATATGGTAGTAGATGAATCCAGTTAAATATTGTAGGCTCTGTATGAGTTGATGTAGAATAAACAATAGAAAATACTGGATTGTGTTTACGTATCTGTAGGATTGTTTTGCTCGTAAGACTTTCTATATCTGTTAATCTTACTTCTTGTAACCTGTAGCTACATAAACCCTCTTTGCTTTTGTACAGGTACATTAAGACCTCGGGCAATGCCACTGTTGATCACTTGTCTAAGTACCTAGCTGTGAGGCTAGCCTTAGAAGAACTTCGGAGCAAAGGAGAGTCTAATCAAATGAATCTTGAAACAGCCAGTGAGAAGCAATACACAATTTATATTGCTACAGCTAATGGCCAATTCACCGTGAGTAACTGTTTGAGCAAAAATGCAGTTGGGAAAAGGCATTGTTTCAAAATAAATTTGAATTCTATTCAGAATGTCATTATGCCCAGGGCTAAACATACAGAGGTAGAGCAAATAAGGCATGCTGTCAGGTGTGTCTAAAAGGTATAATCTATATACCCGGGCTTAACCCTCTGTGTGGAAAATTTCTGAAAAGGACTTTTTTCTGTTTGATTTCACTTGTGCTAACATAGTTATTTATGCATGCATTACAGTGTGAGCTTGGGGGGGGGATGCACATGTGCATATGTTGCTAAAAAAAAAACATGAGGAAAATCTAGTTTCAGATCATTGTTGATTCGTTTCTGAGCTTTCCTGTTCATCTCACTTTCTATACAATCCTAGCAGAATTATTTATCCCCTACCGTGGAAGGTGAACATGTAGAAAATATAATGCAAACAACCAAGTATTTTGTTGTACATTAAAGCCTCAACCATGTATTATCTCATAAGCCTTTGCAGAGAACAGCTCTGTTTCAACAGAAGCAGGGAGTACAGTTCTGACAAAAAGGGCAAAATATGTATTCTTGTCAGGTGGGGGAAGAAAGGAGATGAAGAATGTTAAGAGACTGACCATTAACAAAACAGAAACTTTTGGGGGGGCTTTTGGGGGAGGAGGCATGTAATTCTCTAGTCCACGAAGGCTAAAAATGGCAGTGGGATTATTTCAGTCTCTGCAAATATTCTTGTCACCGTGTGTCCAAGGTGGTTATCCTTCAACAAAGCAATTTTAAAGTTGACCAAAGGATTTCATAGTCTCAGAATAAACTGAGATTTCTTATAGCGTAGTATTTTATTTTTATATGGTTTATCATTGCAAGATTGTGTCACATTTAGCTACTGCTTTGTTAATAGTCACTCTCTTGCCTCTCCATTCTCACTATTCCCTCTTCTCTTTCCACCTCCTATGACAGCTGCTTGATGTTTGGACTCCACACATTTGATGAAGTGGATTAGTCTTTAAAATATCATAAAACTCTGCTGCAGAAAACTAACATGGCTAACCTATGAAAATGCTGAATATAAACATACTAAGTGAAAATGCTAGGAAACTTCTATTTGTATATCTGGAATCTTGATCTGTTACATGATGTTTAGGAAGGATGAAAGGTCTTTTTATTTTGGACTTTAAATATACGGCATGCTTCTTCCGACATCCTGGAAACCAATGGGAACTTATTGCTGTTTTTACAGTGCCTAAAAAAAGAGTCTGTATACTTTATTGGCTGCAGCTCCCTACTGACTGGCCTGCTATATCCACACATCTTTTATTATTCCCCCCCCCAGAATTAGTGTTCAGTGAATTGTGGGAACATACAATAAAAAGGATATTATACGGAATCTAGCTGATATATTTATTCATTACTGAACTATGTACTTAAAATAAATTACAGTGACCTTTAAAAAGGACTAAATCAGACCTAGCCTCCTATACACATTGTATCAATCTTAAAAGGATTTGAGGCTTCTAGAGTAAACTTAAATATATAAGGTCATATAGATCACGGGTCAGCAAACCGCGGCTCCGGAGCCGCATGCGGCTCTTTCAGCCGCCTCCTACGGCTCCCTATCCTCGGCCACCATGTGCAGTCTGAAAAAAAAAGTAGGATTAAAAAAGTTAAACCAATCAATTCAAACTTCTCAAAAGTTTGAATTGATTGGTTGAACTTCTTTGGTTTGTGGGCAGTCCCACAAACCACTTTCCTTCTTCAGATTGCACATGGTGGCAGCGGAGGAAGAGCCGGGAGGATTGCTGGAAAGGTGGCAAAACCTGGGTAAGGAGCCGCGGGTGGCCAGTGTTGGGATGCCTCTTTACTGCCCGGTGGGTCTCCTCTCACCTTGCTCCGCCTCTATTAGTCGGGGGGGTTGCCGGGGGTCTTGGTAGCTCCCCCATTCTGCCCACGCCTTTCAGCCGTCTCGCGGGTTGAGAGATTTCCCTGTGGCGCCTGCCCGGCCCTTTCCCCACTTGCTGCGTGGCACCTCTTGGCCGTCCTCCTGCTTCTGCCACTGCCATTGGACTCTCCATTATTTATTTATTTATGAATGAGACTTATATACCGCTTTTAAGTGCAAGCACTTTCTAAGCAGTGTACACCAGTAAGCAATATATTTACATTGCCCCCAACAATCTGGGTCCTCATTTTACCTACCCTGGAAGGATGGAAGGCTGAGATTGAGCCGGTGAGATTTGAACCGCTGACCTGCTGAACACAGTCAGCTAAAGTGGCCTGCAGTACTGCACTCTAACTGCTGTGCCACCTCGGGCCGGGCGGCCGCGCCCCTTCTCCATCCCCCCCGCTGCCACTGCTGCCGCCGGGCTCTCCACCACCTGGCACCACCTCGGCCCAGGCGGCTGCACCCCTTCGCCTTCCGCTGCCACTGCCACAGGGCTCTCCACTGCCCTGCCCCACCTCGGACTGGCAGGCCGTGCCCCTTCGCCATCCTCCTGCCACTGCCGCAGGGCTCTCCACAGCCCTGCCCCACCTCTGACCGGGTGGCCACGCCCTTCGCCTTCCACTGCCGCCGCTGCCACAGGGCTCTCCACCGCCCTGCCCCACCTCGGCTCGAGCAGCTGCGCCCTTTTGCCTTCCTTCTGCTGCCGCAGGGCTCTCCACCACCCTGCCCCACCTCGGCCCGGGCGGCCACGCCCCTTCAGCATTCTCTTGCCACTGCCACCACTGCTGGGAGTACCAAAGGTCCGGAGGGTTCCCTCCTGCTGCGGATGCACAGTGCCAGGGCTTACGGGGAAGGGGGTGTGGGTATATTCGGGGCCTAAAAAGTTTTCCAGGACAGGCTCGGGGCCGGTCCTCTTTCCCTGGCCGCAGAAGGGGCGGCGCAGGGTCTCCACTCGGGTGGGCGGGCGAGTGAAACCCCGAAACCTTTCGCATTTTTTGCAAAGAAAAGCATTTCGCATTAACTGGCACCGCAGGGGGTAGTCTCACGGCAATGCTGACCTTCTGGGCCGTGGTCCACCGGCGTCTTCTTCTGCAGGTAGCAAATGAGAGGCGTTTGTGTCTGCGACACTCTTTGGGAAGAGTTAGCCAGGACCTGTGATGGGACCAGCCCTGTTCCCGTTTCTGCCCTGGTTTGATAAATTGAGCTGGAAGGGAGGGGACACTTCTCCTGCCCGGGTGAGCCCAGAGTAGAGGTATTGTAACATTCGTTCTACTAAAAACAGGGCAGAGTTGAAAGTGCAGATTCCCAGCAGGTATTAAATCGGTCTGGATCAGCGCTTCTCAACTGCAGCAACATTCGGCCCGGGGGAGGGGGAGCTGGACGGGGACAGGGCCAGTGCATGTGTTGCCTTAGGCTCCACTTACAAACAAGCCCCTTACGACCCACCACATAACCTACAGCTGCTTTTCCTTTGGAACTGAAATATCGATTTATGTTAGGCTATTCATAGACAGGAGTGAGTGTTGTTTACGAACTGTGATTTGTTAGTGTTTGGTAATTTTCTAGTTGTTATTTTTTTTGTTAATTCATTTTCAAATGGCAATAACACTTTTCTATTTTTAACTTTGTTACTTCTTTTGGCTCCCACTCTAGGTATTAAACGGTTCTTTTTCCTTGGAGCTGGTCAGTGAAAAATACTGGAAAGTGAATAAGCCCATGGAGCTCTACTATGCACCAACAAAGGAACACAAATGAGCCTTAAAAAAGGCTTTGAGTTGGAACAATACTTGCTTTTATAGCTTTGCTTTAATTTGAAGTACCATCCTCTGCATCATGGACAACTGCACATAGACTTGGATTCCCCAATGAATATCTCTAGACAGTATTTGGTGTGATACCTAACTTATATTTTTCTTTCTGAAGAACTGAATGATCAGAACATTCCACTGTTACTGTCGTATGTGTTCTTTTGATTTGGTGGCTCTTAGTTCATGTGCATGAAGTTAGTGCACAAATTTAACATGGAATGTTAAAAGGCTTTGGATGGGCAGACTCACTAGCACCTTGATGTACATTGACAAAGGAACAAGAGATGCTATAGTTCTGTTAATTATATATGATTAAGAGTAGGTCTGCTAGTAAGTAACTAATTCAGATGCTAAAGAAATAGCTGGGGCTGGAAGAAAAGATAGATTGTTCACAGCGGTACCTGAATTCTTATGCAATGCCCTGTAATGTCATTCTACTTTGTGAATAAAAAAGCCACCACATGTACAACACTGTCTTCATTCCCAGTGTCCATGGGAATGCAAGCTACTCTTTTTCCTGTTTTCATCATATTTAAGGTAAATTATTCTTACCAATTTCACATTATAGCTAAGAGAACATTAACTATAATATTGTTTCATAGCTTAATTGCAGTTTAAAGAGTGACTTAGAACTAGTTCTGGGAAAAGACTTTACAGAATGAGCATTTCTGAGTTCCAAATTTTGTTAATCACAGTTCATGGTGCAATCATATGAACATTCCCAGAAACAAGGAAAAAATATACTGATTTGTACTGATACGACTAAAAATAATAATGATGCAATATTGACAAATTTCTTTGACAATATTCTTAAACTTTCCCATGTCAATTAGGCACTTGTGGTAAAAATAAATACAGTGTGGATTGTAATGATCTTTAATTTTGATTGGATCAAAACTATATACTTACCTATCATAGCATCCAAATTTCTGTAAATCAGTTATCATCCATGACATAGTAGAAGACTCATCCTTCTGTGTGACTGATGTTGTAAAAAAAAAAAAAACCCTTCCTTTCACTGAAATGTTCCCCAGTACTCTCTTGAAAGTTTTGAATATGCTAAGAAAAGGAATGGTGCAGGAAAGTGTGGACTTGTAGGGGATTACCTTCAATATTTAGCAACGTCTTATGGTTGTTGGTCTAAAAATTATGATCTACTATAAAAGTCAAAGTCAATTACTGCAGTTGAAAGCTGAGAATATGCCTACTAATTCGAAAGATCTGATGATTGTACAAAAAGAAAAAGTTTTATAGCACTCCGTTCAATGTTAGAGGTTCCTGCATTATTTTACCACTTTGTGCCATGACAGTTCATAAGTCCACGCCGGGTTGGGGGTGGGGTGGGGAAAATGTATCATGTGTACTCAGTTTTGTTCAGTATTTTTGGTGTAATGTACAAACTATATAGCTTGCTAGTGCATGACCACTAAATATAATCACATTTCTTTTTATGTGAAAAAATGCTTTTGTATAAGCAAACATCAGGTGAAAAAAAAAACTTGCTTTGTGACTTATCCAAGAAATTGTTTAGCCCTAGATGCAGATCAAATACAGCATTCTGAAAAGATTGTCTGTCTAGGGAAGGTACATTGTTCCCAAGTTGGCGGGAAAGAATGTGAATTTTTAACTTGTTATGGTGAATTCTATAAGTATTTATATTTACTTAAATATATAAAGTAGTTGTTTTCATCAATAAACTGCACTGTGACTTTTTAATGGGTCAGCTATCGGCAGCTTTGAGAAATTGCCTATCCTTAGTGCCACATTTTCACAAGCAAGCTATTTTGGAAAAGTGACAATCTTATCATTAAATGTTACATCTCTCATTCCTGAAGTTCAGAATTCATTCATGGGTATATGTAAGAAATCCCAAAGAGAAATGAGAACCCGAACAGGTAATATATCCTCTGTGACTAGCTAAGATCTGGTGTGATTTATAATACATTTACAATAGTACTATTAACTCTGAAGGAGGTGAGAATAATCTCGACTCTCCACCCAGCCCTAACAAACCTGTGTTTTTTACAACAGCTTTTCTTTACTATAGTATATGGTGAAACAAGTGCTACAGAAAACTGTTGTGTTTATCCCATTTTGAGATTCCCTATCTGCACAATACTAGAAGCAGTAAAGGGTCACCATCTTGATCATTGTAATCATCCAACAACTACATGTTGACAGAAGCAGCTGATTATTCTTCCTGTGAAGGTGTAGGATTTGGAGGGACACAGATTCCACATTACAGTATAAACTAACTGTCCTTATATCTCTATGAATGTGAGTGCAAGCTTAAGTGATTGCTTTTGTCCTTGTGGTAATTGGCTATCCACTAACAATCATACTTGATGATGGCAATTTGAACAATTCTGATGGAAAGTGTGTTATTTTGCCTATTTTAAAAAGTACTTGGGAAACTTTCTGAAATGCCTAAAAATGATTAAGAATAATTTTGGAGGTTTGCAGGTTTGCACTTCTAGCCAAATGAGCTTAAGTTTACTGCAGAGATGTTTCTGCACTAAATGAACAAAAATTGGATTTTTTCCTCCTTCCTTCTTCCAATGTTTTCCTATTTTACTCTTTAAATTCTTCAGTGCTTTCTTTAAAATAAGATGATTTATGGCAGGGATCATAGTATATTCTAGAGAGGTTTTTAAAGATTTTCTTAACAGATTTTTTTTTTTAAAAAATCATCAATTTCAGAAATCCTGTTTTATAGCCAGCATGTTTATATATAGTGGCTACCAACATAAGCATTATTAGGCTAGGTTACAGTTTTGATCATCCACCCATTTCAGAGCTAGGCAGATGTATCTATTTTGGGGGGAGAATGAGAATTCCCTCTTCCCTTCCCATAATGGCCTTAAACTCTCCAGTAAAAATCCTCTCCTTTAGAGATTTTAAGTCTCCTTGAAGTAATCTATCTTCTGTCCAACCCAATCCCCTCTGATGCAGTCCCACTGGTGCTGAGCAGTCTATTCATAGACTGTCCCTGGAAGAAAACAAGCAGACACCTAGAAAAGAAGCATCATCAAAGGTCCCCCAAATAGTAATAACATCAAGTGCTCCTGTGATAGATAGAAAAGTACCCCAAACCCCCCCAGGAAAAAAAAGGCGAGTGTTGGTAACAGGAGATTCAGTTCTCAAGGGAACAGACTCAGCCATCTGTAGGCCCGACAGTCAATCCAGAGAGGTATGTTGCCTCCCTGGAGGAAGAATCGAAGATGTGGCCGAGAACCTAACCAAAATAATAAAAACAACAGATTACTACCCTTTTTACTACTACATGTAGGATGATTGATACCAAGATGGACCTGAAAACAGTATCAAGTGATTATGAACAGCTAGGCAAGAAGGTCAAGGAGTTAGATGCACAAGTAGTGTTTTCATCTGTACTGCCAATGAAAAGTCAACATCCCGTAAGAGAACAAAGGATTCTAGAAGTGGACCATTGGGTTGGTGTTGTCAAAAGAACTTTGGATTCCTGACCATGGTCTGCACTACCTCCATGATGGAATTTTGACAAGGGACGGGCTGCACCTCACAAAAACTGGGAAGATTGTTTTCGAAAAACGCCTGGCTCAACTTAATAGGAGGGCTTTAAACTAAAATTGAGGGGGGACGATGATCAAATTTTAGGCTCTCTAGGACCTAACTACAAGCAAAAATCCCTAGAAAACAAATACTGAGGCAAGGAGGGATGGGAAGGAAGACAAACTCAAACACCAAATAGGAGACATGGGAAGCATACCCAGAGTCAGACATAAAGATCTAAAATTGGAGACAGGGTGAACTAGAATTACTAATACATGAAAGTAGACATGATATAATTGGAACTACTGAAACTTGGTGAGGTGAGACCCATGAGTGGAACACACAGGTAGAAGGATATAAACTGTTTTAAAAAAAACATCCCATAAAAGAGGAAGTGGAGTTGCACTATATATAAAGGACCACTATATTGCTACAGAAATGCACGAGACCAAAGATGAAAACCACCTAGAATGCATATGGGTCAATATAAAAGAAAAAAAAAGAATGACATTGCCGTAGGAGTATACTATAGGCCACCCAACCAAGTAGAAAAAATATATGTACTTTTTGCTAACCAATTAAACATATGTAGGAAACACTACAATAGTAACGGGAAACTTCAATTACCCTGATATCAACTGGAAGACTAATTCTGCACCAAGTAAAAAATTGAATAGATTCCTGACCAAGTTAGCTGATAACTGTTGACCGAAAGGCAGAGGAGGGAATTAGAGGGACAGCCATACTGGACTTAATTCTCATGAACAGAGAATAAGTGATAGAGTTAAAACTGCAGGAATCTTGGGAGAGAGCGACCATGTCATACTGGAACTCAATATAATGCAAATACAAGCAATAGTACATAATTATATCAGAGTCTTAGATTTTAAAAGAGCTGATTTTAACAAACACTGAGAATTTGGGAAAGATTCCTTGGATGAAAATCCTAAAGGGGAAAATAACCCAAGAAGCTTGGGAAACTGAAAAATATGATCATAAAAGCCCAATCTAGCACAATACCACTGAAAAAGAAAATTAACAAATCTAAAGAAACCAGCATGGCTGCACAAAGATCTCTCTAATAAACCCAAAGATAAAAAGGACAAGTACAAAAAATGGAAAGAGGGACACATAACTAAGGCAGAATATCAGCAGATAGCCAGAATCTGCAAAGAAAAAGTCAGGAAAGCAAAGGCTCCGAATGAACAAAGACTCACAACAAAAAAATCAAAGATAACAAAAAAAGTTTCTTTCAACATATAAATAACAAGAAATAAATCAAGGAAACAGTCGGTTCACTAAAGAGAGAAGATGGCAAGGAAGTAACAGCAGGGAGAAAACAGAGCTACTTAACTGATTCTTTGCATCAGTCTTCACACAAAAACAAATTATAGCTGAACCCACCAAAAACATACC